ATTATTATTATTGTATGTCAACAATATTATGCTATTATTAAAATCAATTAAATAAAACTATATAATAATAATAATCTAGCCAAAATTATAATTAATCTTAATCTCTACACAATCATGTAAGGTTATGAAAAATATTACTTACTATGAAATTATTAGGTAAATCTTTCTGATTCAGAGGATACATTCGTGAGAACTTATAACTTTCTGTTAACACGTAAAATGGTTTCTTGAATTCTTTAGCACAAATAGCCATAGTACAACTTCCAATCTTGAAAAAGAATTAATTACTATTAAAAAAATTGTTTCAATATATATATATATATACAGTGGTTTGCGCAGGGGGGGGATGATGGGGGATATATCCCCCCATGGGCTTTTTTTTAGTCTTCTAACGAGTGGATTTTGGATCTCTAGTTCATCAACATAAACATAATACATTTTTATTTATGACATCCCCCCCCATACCAAATTCCTGCGCACRCCACTGTATATATATCACTATACAGGAGCTATACACTTAACTTATCACTTACATCTATTATCATTCAGAGACATAACCAAAGCATGAGAGAGGAGCTAAGGGGGTTAAAGTAGCCAGAATAATGTTAATTTTGTAATATTTGTAATATGATGTAATGTGATTGTTATTTACTACGTTTATATGATGGCATTAAAACGGTTTTAATTCTTAAATTACATAGTGTGATCATTTAACTTTTAAAACGGTTTACATTTTTTAAACCATTTTTACAACTTACGTTTATATGATGGCKTTTAGACAGTTGAAAAATATAAAACATTTTAAAATGTAAAACACTCGCACTACCTATGTAGTTTAAGAATTCAAAACCAATTTAATTTCAAACTGTTTTAACACCATCATATAAAAGTAGTAATATATTAGTTAATAGTTTATTACCTTGTTAATGATTCCACCACTCTCTACAACACATTCAGCTCCAACCATAACCATATCAACAGTTTCCATGATATAACCAACAGCAGAATCTAATATCAATGTGCAAGGAATATCAAGTGCCTTCAAACAATTGTACATTTCAATTCTATTTAAACAAAACAAAATTGTATTAAAAAATATTTCATAAGTTATATTATTATGCGCCAGCAAATTACCCGCTTTTATCAGGAGATGATTCTGACACAAAAACATGAAATCTTTTTTGTGAATTCACAGCTAATTTCATGGCTTCTAACACTACTCTAGATTTTGAATGTGTCAAAATATTCTAAAACAATAATTTTTACAAGGTATATAATATAATCTTTATTTAAGGTTATTACTTATTGCTGTAAATGAGATATGGGTAAAATAAATAATATATATATATTTT